GAGAGAGAGAGAGAGAGAGAGAGAGAGAGAGAGAGAGGCCTATTCCCCCATGAAAAGGCTTCTAGTTTATGGCTGGGAGTCCGATCGGATCAGTGAAAGTTGTGAGGACGTCTGATAACGAACCAAGATAACGGCGGTCTTCGAGAAATCGATTAACTTCGACCCTGGCACTTTAATAACGCAACAATCGCTTAAAAGACTTATTTCTCACTGAAGTTAATCTACTAAAGGCTGAAATTCGACTCCTTTCTGGACTTTTGGGTTATTCTAAACTTTTGATTGGATAAGTTTTTACATTCCCACTACTTTCAAGAGCAAAATGAGTCATGAAAACCCCCCACATAAGTCTGTTAGAGACTGTCCTAGCTAATAGTGTGTTTCCGTAAATTCTGTTGGTAAAAAATATCCTCAAGGAAAGATTCGAGTCTTTCAAGTTCGTTAGTTTTTGTTTGTTTGTTTATTGTTTTTCTTGTGTGTTTTTGTGTGTGTGTTTTTTTTGTGTGTGTTTTTTTGTTGTTGTTGTTCAAGTCGTGGGTAATGGTGACCGTTCACTTGTAAAACTTCTGGCCTACAGGGCTTCTCCAAACTTGTTTTAATACCATGCAAGGACCACTTTTGATGAGTGGGGTTTAGCCTCGCACGGCTGGAACCAGGTATTCTCTACAGCATAACCCACACCTTCTCCCCTAAGTTCTCCATAACTTTCTCACCACCGTGACGGTCGTGGTTTTACCGCTCTAGCTAGTTCTCGAATATTATGTAGATTGATATTCTTTTAAAACATTGACAAATTTGACATCCCTTTGGAGAATTTTATTTGTTTGAAGTTTTGCTTAATTGGTACAAACCGACCGTTAGATTTGTCATTTAAAAGTAAAAAAATAAAAAACAAAAAACAAAAACAAACCATCATGTACCAGAAGTTAGAATTCTTATAGAAAAATACGGCAACAATACTTGCAGACATCACCAGCCAATGGTAACAAAACAAAACAAAACAAAACAGGAAACTGATATTAGAAATCTAGATCTACATAGCAGGCGTTGCTCAATCAGGTTTTAGGAATCAAATTGTACTTTGATTGCATCATATTCCATTCCGATGTGATAATTTTGCACTGGATAAGTTGATCTCTTTGCTACCGGAAAACTGGGACACCAGCTGAGCTAAAGTGGGACACTATGTCCCAATTTTCCTGACCATGGGTAGACACACGCACCAAGTTTTTGTTCTTGGGTTTCTTTAAGAGACAGAACTAAGCATGTCCCATAATATGATTATCTTATCAAGTTTTGATAGGCATATGACTATATTTGAAAAAATACTCACCTTCAGCTGAAGTGCAATGCATTCGATGCAGAGAGACAGAAACTGGTCTTGAAAAAGAGTTTGCAAAAAAAAGGGTGGTTTTGGAACTTGAAAACGGAAATACGCACAAGTAGTTGAAGGGGTGTAACAGCAATCAAAAGGTAGTACATGTAGTATAATAAGTTGTTCATTACGGCAGGAATAATATTTATCCACAAAAATATGTTACGGCCTCCTCCCAGTTCTCCCCGCTCTTCCCGACAATATGTGTGCGAGTGCCCTGAATGACTTTGTGTGTGCGTACATGTGTGTTTGTCTGAATGAATGTGCTTATACGTGTGTGTGTGTGTGTGTGTGTGTGTGTGTGTGTGTGTGTGTGTGTGTGTGTGTGTGTGTGTGTGTGTGTGTGTGTGTGTGCGCGCGCACCGCCGCTGCACGTGTGCTTGCATGTAATGTGTGCGTGCATGCGTGCACGAGCACTTGCAAGAATGCAAGCATGCTTACAAGTGTGTGTTCTGGAATCATCGAGGCAGCGTGGTGAAATCAGGCGCTCGTGAAAATAATGAAAGTAAACAAACTTACACTTTTCCGCAATTTTGTTTTTTAGCTCAACACCTTCTATGTCTATTTAAAATCCCATTTCAGTATGAATTATATTGGAAAATGTTGATTAAAGGCATAAAAAAAGTAAATTATTGTCAATTTCCACGGACTTTGAGGCTTTGTAAAAAAAAAAACTTTGGTGGCCTTTTCCTCAATAATTTTTCTTAAAAAAAACAAGTCACTCCACCTCATTCAATTGCAAATATCTCGACCTGTTTTGAAGATATATGGGTAATTCTTTCATTGAAAGCAAGGCAAAAGAAAAAGCTTTAAGTTTACCCTAGCCGTACGTCCTGGGATCATTAATTGTACCCCCGTAGTTGTATTCTTCACATTTTAGAATACTTCTAGTACGAAGATCTCTTTGAAACTTTCAATATTTCTCAAAAAATCATTAAGATAGACTGCTATGCAAAGCGTATGGATCGGATTAATGAGTAAATTTCCTCTTTTGAAAGCGCTTGCAGTTCCCCACGTCGTATGGATACGATAGTAAAACACGACGTATGGATTGGCTTAAGGTGATACCAGAGACCTATAACCCCACATGCCCAAAAATTGACGAGAACACAACTTGTGAAAGTAGCACACATGATATGCTTTTAAACCGTTGTTGTTGTTGTTTTTGTTGTTGTTGTTGTTTTTGGTGGTGGTGTTGTTGTTGGTGATGGTGTTGTTTTGTTGTTGGTGGTGCTGCTGTTGGTGTTGTTGTTGGTGTTGTTGTTGTTGTTGTTGGGGGTGGTGGTGGTTTTTTGGGTTTTTTTTTTTGGGGGGGGGGGCATTTCTTTTGAAGAACAATGGCTAATTCTCCAGGTGAAAGGTTTTTCATTGGTACTCAACGTTGCTCAATCAGGTTTAAATAATGTACGTGCCCCACTTTCAAATGCTTGCGACGATGCGTGACTTTTGTGTTGATGTGTTGCCTCTTTTTGCTGCGGAGTTATTAAGGATAGTCCGGGGGGGGGGGGGGGGGGGGGGGCCCCCTTTTCAAAAGCTTGCGGCGGGGGGGATTTTTGTGTGGGGTCCCCTTTTTTCCCGGGTTTTAACCAAAAAAAAAAAAGGGGGGGGGGGGGGGGGGGGGGGGAGTTACACATGGAGATAGCTATCTCGCTTATAGTGTATGAGTCAAATTTTACCACATTTTACACATAAAACAAACATAGTGATGAGTTGGTGAGTTTTAAAATCCCCAATTAAATTTGAGAAAAAAGTTCCGTTGCAATAATTGAGACGGCGGCAATATTGGATTTTGTTGACACGTCTTACGCAATTAATACGCACTTATATTCAATGCAAATATGTTGTTATTTTGAAAATTTTAAATGATTTTTCCCCCGAGATAGTATTTAAGTTTTCTAATTAAAAAATCAGTGAAAATTCACACTCCAGACACCACCACCAAAAATTTATGCCTTTTGGAAATTCAACAGACAGTTTTATTTTTAGTGTTCCATCTTCTCCTCATTCTGGGAAAATTTCACGAAGATTGGTTGAAAAATGGTGGAGTTTTTTTTTAAAAAGCAGCCTATACTCAAATTGCGTTTTGAGAAAACGGGCGAAAAAGAAAAATATATTAATGATTGCCTTTATGAGGAAATGGTGGTGACTAAAAAATAGGGCTTGATGGGGTTATTTGTAGTCAAGAATACCTAGGCTACATCTCAAAATCTATAATTTTGACCCGAATAGGGAGTACCCCCAACCACACGACCCTTAAGATTATCACGTTCTAGAATAGTACTTTCATAGATTGTTTCTCTGACATAGTTCGTAGGAGTAATGATTTTCAATTTCAAAGAAATAATAATGATTGTATGAAATGAAATGCAAAAACCCCGTATTGCCAATAAACATTAGAATTAGGGAAAACTGCGAACACTCGGCGATACAAAAAAATGACGAATATTAGGCAGGGGGCGTGACTCATGAAGAAGGAAGTGTACTATTATCACGTGACCATCAAAATGGCTGATGGAGTGGAACCTCCCCCATTCGATAACGAAGAAGATGAAGTAAAAGATGAAGACGATTTGTTTTCTGATGCGAAAGAGGTATGTTATTTGAACAACAAACTGTTAGTGTTTCTTTTGAGTATAAATTTTCCGTATTGACAGGCTTATTAGAGGGTGAACATAGACATTTTCTCTGGCGGCTTCTTGTGCTTTCTGCACTTTTGACTCATCAACAGTAACAATTTCCACACTGTAGATTACCACCGGTTAATGTTATTATAGACTAGATCTAGTTAATTATTTTGTGAGGTGATTCTGATTCTTCAATATACTCGGATACTTTTTCTTTGATGGTGTTTTCAAAAGATCTAGATAGATTCTAGATCTAGAAATCTAGAGTAGTATAGTGTAGAAAAGTCTTGCTGCACTGTGACTGCGAATGTAGTCTGTGTAGTCACTACTACTAGTCTAGATCTAGTGAAAGTGAAAGTATGAGGATGAGGTCCTCATTTTCTTTGAATAGATCTTGTCAGCCTCTAGATCTAGATCTAGTCTGTGATCTCATGCAGCAAGTAGAAAATGGAACAAAAACTTTCTTCCAGTTCAAACAATTTCCAGGGGTGTCAATTTTTTCTTTTTGGAATCTGTGATGAGAATGATATATGAGTATGAGTAAGATAGACACTACTTTCCTTTAATTTCAGAATAAAACGACACACCCACATTAAATTATAATTCATTTATAATGGCAGATATATCAGTCAATCTGCTTCTTTTTCCTTATTGCCCAAAATAATCTTTTTGAGGGATGGATGCAAACGAGAGCTTGAATAAATTTTTTTGATGAATGGTAAAAAATAAGGAATGAGAGAGGGTGTTCACTTTTACCAACTTCTTTTTTCTTTCATCATATAATCTTGTCAATGAGTCAAATTGTGTATGTGAATTAAGACTAAGTAGGTCTAGCTGTCTTACGCTTTGCTTTATTCATGTGAGTGTGTGCAATATTTTTCTAAGTGACTATTTCTCCGAACGTTTGGGAAAATAAACTTGACCTCTATTTCAATTTCTCAGAACGGTTTCCATTCTCGAGATTTTTTGGTTATTTGCGAGAGTTAGGCATCATCTTACATTCTGCCATTCTGCGAGGCCGTAACGTTCACGGATTATACTTCATTTGAAAATACCTTCAAAAGGTATTGCGAGAAAAGGAGACTGCTCGACTTTGGCAGAAGGCCTACTACTACATTTTTTGCATTTTGTAACCCCTAAAGCAAAAACTAAAATCCAGGGTGAGATCTAGTCAACTGGTTTGGGAAGCCCAGGAAGATGACCAAAATAGATGGCAGAAATACATCATTATTTAGGCCAATCACAAAGGTGTGCTATGTGCACGCTGTAGCTTCATGTAATTCCCTCCACGCCCCCTGCCCTCACCCCACCCCCCCCTCCCCACCCCCCATTCACACCTAATACACACACACACACACACACACACACTCACACACACACACAAACACATACACTCATACACACACACACTGACACATGAGCAATTGCCAAAACGTGAGATACTCTTGAGACTCAGTGGTGCAAAAAAAATTTTCTTACCAATTTGACTCTCTTTTATGTCAGTCACAGATTGACATTTAGTGCTCATATTCCTAGAGTATCAGAGCAAGGAGACGTACGGTTTTGGAGATATGGGTCTATTGGTTTGGCAGCTACTGTATTTCTTGTATGTAACGGTGATGACAAAAACAGATAAGCAGCAAGGCAAATTATGGACTTTAAATTCCATTTGTTTAGTAATCAAAGACTTCGTACACTATGAATTCCGTTCATAATGGTAATATGAATGACAAGCTTTGTAACAATGACGCAGTGCACAGAACATGTCATCATTGTTATGTACAAGAAAGGATACACATTGGATATTATTATTAACAACACATCACAATAGTGAAAGGCTGTACAAATAGTTAAATACAGTTATCAAAACCTCAGTACCAGAAAAACACATGTGTAAAACAATTTTTAAACTAATATGAGGCAAAAGCACAAGATCAATTGAGCTGACTTGTACATAACAGTGATGACAAACATGACTTGTACATAACAATGATGACACAATGTACAGGAAAAGACAAAAGTCTTGCCTCCAGAGAGAAAAGCGCACTTTAAGAATAAAAAAAAACCAGGAGAGGTTTCTTTTGCTTTGAAACAGATACCAGGTCATATCAAAGACAGTAGACAATCACAATTACGTTGCTAATTATGACAAAGAGTACTCGTACATAACAGTGATGACAAAACATACTGGGAAAAGATAAAATCATGCCTACAAAGAACAAATTTGCACTAAGAGATACACAGATCAATAAAGGCGTATTGTGTTTCTAAATGAATCTTGCATGTATGAAATATATGTTGAAAACTTATTGATATTAGCAATTATGAAAAATATTACTTGTACATAACAATGATGACACAATGACACAATGTATTGGAAAAAGGCATATCATGCCAACAAAGAACAAATGTGTACTTTTGAGTTAGACAGATAAACAAGGACATGTTTGTCTATTTGTTTGAGTAAAAAGAGCACACATGACTTAAAAAATGTTTGCTTTTAGGACAATGTAATTTCTAGTACGTCGGTCAGTCTTGTACGGCTGCATGACGACACCCCAAACGTCATCACTAAGCACAAAAGCTAAATCTATAACCACAGAAATGATCCATCTTTTGAAGTTTGTTCACACATCACACTCTTGTTCCAGGAATCCAATGTAAACACCACAATTTCACTAAAATATTCAATAGGGTAGCCTAAAAACACGCAAAACAATCCAGTACGTCACATTCAACGAAAGATTCTTGTGCGTAACCGGAGGGTGACGGCAATGACTACTTTCGTTTTTCTCTTTACCCCGTTGCTCCCGCTGTTCTGGGGAACCGGGTAAGGGGAAGTCACTCAAGAAAACAATTATATCCGGGCACTGTTGATGATCCGTTCAAAACAAAAGTAGGCTAAAATTCGGACTTCCGGTACGTCGCAAAGTGACGCCATTAACGGTGAATGTTAAACAGCCGACCGAAATCGTAGATCTAGGAACCCGATGTTCCTTTCGCGCATCGTGGCTTTTGAACTATTGAATAAACGACGAAAAGCAAAATGATTTAACCAGCTGTGGTGATTCTACTGAAAAATAATGGTGTTTTCTGAAACACCTAGGCCGTGACGACACCACTGACGCACAAGTGATCCGAATTATTCGTTTATTTACAAACAAATAAACCGATTTCTTGAGCAAGTGAACCTTTCTCGATCACAAATAGCATAGAATCAAAGCACAGGTAAAAAAAAAACACCCAAAAATACTAAATTTTGACATTCTTGGAAGTTTGCATTGGTGTGCTCAAAATGACACTCCAGGAATCACTAAAAAACGAACATTTTTGGCACAAAATTTACAAATTTAAGATTATAAAGCTGACATAGGGTCTGAAACTGCTAATGCAGGTTCTACATCCTATATTTGACATGTGTACAAGTTTTTGAGGAATAAATACTAATGCATCACATTTTATGCACACTATTGTGAGATGTGTGTGTTTTCCCCCACGTTTTGGCAATGGCTCACATACGCGGGACACTCCATTTGCAACCAAAAAATCTCGAGAACGGAAACCGTTTGGAGAAATATAGAGTTCAAGTTTTTTTTTCCTGAGCGTTGGGAGAAATAGAGCCGGCCTTTTTTTTCTGAAAAATCTTAACACAGTGAAAAATCTTGAGCTTCAGTGTACTTGAACTTGTTTGTAAGCCTCCAGTGTTAGTTAACCTTTTAGAAATTACAAATATTTGGGTTACTGTTACACCACTTTTTGAAGCACATTGGAAACTTGTTTTTTGTACCAATTAATGATAAGAAAACATCCGAGAAGAATATGTATTCTTTGTGTACTTGAGCAGTTTTTTAAATTGAGTTTTGACCTCGCCTTCCTCCCCTCTGACTCGTCTGAATTTAGTCTACTCTTCTTTTTCTCCTTTGTCACAGGTGTCAACTGGAAAGGTGGTGTGTGCCTTTGACCAAATCACTGTTTTTCTGACAAACGATGTCTCCACATCTTGTTTGATAATAATGCTATTCTGAACATTTAATAGGGGCTCTCATGGCCTTGGGGTGTTCGCCTCTCATTCAATGGTCCCGGGAAGAGACCGAAAAATTTTCTTCTCTAAAATTGTCTCTTTTCACCTCCTTTCCTGCTCCAATGTTCTGTCGTCTCCTCTTTCTGCCCCCACCCCCTTACGCTGTCTTTCGGCCACTCCCCTGTTCTTCTTGTAGGAAAGATCTACACCTAGCCTTCTCGGAAAAGGGCGAAAAATCTCCGAGGTCCTGTCTGCAAGTTGCGCACGTTGAAGATCCCTTGGTAGTTTAAAATCGATAAGAGTAGGCTTCGGCCGCCAACCTGGCAAAATTCAAATTTTCTACCAACTGAAAAATGTGTGATGTGGCCGGCGTGCTCATATGACCTTATATGTTGTTGCGAGCGCAGTCAAACACTTACCAAAACAAAAGAACATTTAATGACACAAGTGTAGGTTTTGTTGTTTTTCTGTTTTATCTGTTGAGAGTTTAAAAAATAAGTTTTCGACTGAGAGCTTGCCCCCGTAGGCTTTTCATGTGTTAGTACTTTTTTGTTGTTTTCATTTGCATATAAAATATTATGCTTTTTTGTTCTCTGTTCAATAGATTTTAAAATAGTAAGGGACGCAATGTCTTGATTTTCAGAAGCCAGCTTCACCAGACATGGAGCCTCCTCAACAGTCAGATCTGACTGCCAATGGTACTCCTACTGAACCACTAGAAGATGATAAGGATGAGGATGATTTATTTAAAGGTATCATTTCTGTAGTCTTGATAGTCAATGGTTCGGAAAAAATGTTTTTATGTTGGACGTGAATATGTGTTAAAAGTTGACTTAAGTGCAAATAAACTTTTGTCTACCGTGTGTAGAAACATCTACTAATTGGCTTGAATATGCAGATATGATTAACCTCATTACTTAACTTTCAAATTTTATTTCATTTGTTGTCCATCTTAGATTTTTTTTTTCACATCTTGCCTTTTCACTTCGCGTCGTATATCATTTGAGTAGCGAATTTATATTCATTCAATATCCTTGCTTCATCAGTGTTTAGGCCTGTTGACGTTTGTGGTAAATGTAGGCAAACAGTACACTGGGGATGCTAATCTCTGACTTGCAGTCGACACACAAGCATTCTCGTGTCTCTTTCCTCTGCTTACCTGTCTTGAAACTTTTAAGACTTGTTCATTTGCTTTACTTGAGGGTTGCTGGTGAAGATAGTCTACATTACCCTCAAAGCTATTTTTGATTCAGAAATGGGAGTATTTTGGTTAATCAATAGTTTTCTTTCAAAGTCTAAGAATCAGAATTGGGAATTTTGTTTTATTTCGGTTTACCGCTGTTATTTGATTATCAGTGTTTGGTTTAAGTTGACTCCAGTGTTTGTGTTTTGTTTATTTGTAATTATTCTTTTTCTGTACTTACTTACTTTTACTTTTTCATCCTCTGTTGCCGTTAAGCGTTGAGGGGAGATGCAGTTGTCTGTGGTAGGCCGGCTCCGCAGCTCTTTCAGTTGTGATATTATGTTTTCAAAGAGATCTTTGTACTAGAAGTATTCTAAAATGTGAAGAATAAGATCCCGGGGGTACAAAATGACCCTAGGGCGTACGGATAGGGTTAAGCCTCACAGGCTTAGAATAATTTATTCTTTATTTATCAATGGTGTCATGCATAGCGTATTTTACAGGAGACTATCAGAGACTATTTCTACTCAATTTTCATGACAATGTTTCAAGCATTACTACTTGTTGAGGTTTTACGCCATTTATTGAAATAATCTATTTGACTCAGCATTACAACTTAGTGAACACACATGTTTTAGAACATTTTGGAGTTAGCTCATTTGTACCAGGTAAAATCATATTTTTCTAGATGACACACTGTTGTTGTTTCCTCAGGTGGTAGCTCTGAGATAAAACTTGACTCTGACGATGAAGATGTTGCTGCTAAGGCAAATAATGACGGAGACATGGACTCAGGGTCCTCGCCTTTCGAGAGTGAGCCAAGTCCACCAAAGTCAGAAATATTTTCGTCACCCGCGGCAGAATCTACGCCAAAAATACCAGTGTCACAGGAAACTACTAAAAAAACAAAAGTTTCAGCTCCGTCCCTCAAATCAGATGAGGAGGTAAATGATTTTGATAAGCTACAGCCCCTTCTTTTTTTAAAGTCATTGTGGCATGATAATGGCTTTGGTCAGAATTGGGTCAAAACCAAATTGATTGAATTTAACATTTATTTAATGGCTATCATCATGTCACAAGTTGTAAATGTATCAATACGTTTCCTACGTAAATAGTTTAAATTGTTATCACCTCTGTCATGAATTTGAAAGTTATTTTTAATGCTTTTAAGACCTGTACTTATATGTATTGGTTTTGACATTTAAATATTGTTTATATACTTAATATATTTTACTTTCTTTCAGTCAATCGAGGCTGTGGATGAGAAGGAGACCTATGAAATTGACATCAAAATTATTGAGTCTCAGAAGATGGGAGATGGAATGTCAGCATACATGACATACAAAATTGTCTGTAAGGTATGTTGCTCTGTTTTGCTTGTTTTTGTGTTTTTTTAAAGTTAGCATTGATGCACAGAGAGAAATAAAAATTGGGTGGTGGCGGGTGCTCTGGTGTGGTTTGCTCTTTCTTTTCTATCAAACGTCTATCGTCCTTATCTCCCCTTCTTCTTTTTTATGTATGTTACTCTGTTACTCTCTTGTAACACCTCTAATCTTCTGGTGTTCATATGACCATATGCAGTTGCGAGCGCCGTAAAACCTCTACTAACACTAAACTAAACAAGAAATAAAAAACAGTCTTGTTTGCAACAAACAGGTAGTGCAACTCCCATACTGTTATGGTGTTACACATATGCCACACAACTCTGTGAGGAGGGGTGGTATCTATTGACTATCCCTGTTGTTAAACTCTTTTGCCCAATTTCTCCTCACAGGGTCTGTTCTAACAATAAAAAAAGCTCCCTAATCCTATTGAAATGAATGTAACTGCAATGGATTTACCCCCTTCCCCTTGATTTCATATTAACACTTTCCACCCACGCAGCGTGCAGAGCACACAATACTTATCCCCACGGACCAGGATGCAGATGGGGTACATCAGTACTACACCTGTATTTCGGCATAAATACCCCAACCATTATTAAAACTTCAGCATACTGAGGAAATTAAAAGTGATGATCGCAGTTTCACCAAAAAAGGAATTAGAATCGGAACTGAAAACATTAGATTTAGCTCATTCATCACCCGAATTCCCATCATGGCGTAAGAGTTAAGCAGCAGACATGATAGGTCTACTCAACGTTAAAAAAATAATGTTACTCCAGTTGTTGTATTCAAAGTGATTTTCGTCCTCAAAGGCCACACAAACCATCCCGAAAGGAAATTTAACTTTAACAAGTGCACATGTCAAAAATGAGATCAATGCTATAAAATGTTTTTGTTGCTATATCCAGTGCTTTCACTCTTCCGTATTTTTCGGAAATCCGTACTTTCTACCAGTTCCGTACTTGTTCCTCCTTCATTGTCAACTCCCTCTGTACAAAACTGCGACAGTGTAGGACTGCCGAAATTCCGTCGCAAAAGATGCGTACTTGCATTCGTATCGTCTTGTATAAGTTACGATATTTACGGTAGTTCTCTCGGCAACAAGTTAATGTTATAGAAACCTGCCAGATTGCGCTTTTCCTGCAATCGGCCATTATTCCGCTATGCCCCGTGCATTCATTGCGGGTTGGTTGGCAGTACATTTTTTACCTGCAGATGGATCAAGGTCTGATGAACTTTATTGTGCCAATTTCCTCATTTTTATCATTCACTCATTCCTTCTGTCTATTTTCGGATCGATGCCGCTGCTGGAAAATCTGCGCGTTGATCAAGTAAATTGACTTGTGATCTTAGACAGAAAATGAATGTCAGAAAGAAACTTTTTTGCAAATTTGTCTAGATCTAGAGAAATTATCTCTACGATTCTACAGCACGGGAATGCGATATATATCTATATGGGCCGCGATGAAAGAAATATATATATGCTAAGACTACTAAAATCAAGAATAATTCGAAGTGGTGTTCCGAGGTTGTGACATGGCGACATTCAGACGTGAAAATTGAGGGAAAATTAGAGCATACGCTGGGCAACTGTATTTTGAAGGAACATGTCTATTCATTATTCCCAGGTTTGCCTCCTATCAATGGTGCGACGACAAATTAATTGAATTATAGTAGCAATGAAAGGGAAACCTGCTTTTAAACTTTGCCAGCAATGGAAAGATACGTAGAATCTAGATCTAGGTGAAGAAATTAAACAAGACAAAATGTTTGTGAAAAAATAAATGTCATGGGTTGTAGACAATCTCTTCAAACAGGCTTCTAATTTCCATTTCCAACCCTCTAAAAGCACTAAATTTCAATTTCTCCCCGGACCCCAGACCCCCTGCAAAATTTTCCTAACTTTTCAGCTTCAGCTGGTGGAAGCACTGTATATCACACTGTCGCCGATCGAGCCCCATGGTGGCAAAGGGTATTATTTTGCGTCCAAAAACTTAAACTTTCGGTCAAGATGAAAGGTACAACCTTTCTCTCTGTTTCAGAAGTGCAGATACATAAGTGCTATGATAGATGACTTGCAATTTAAGCTTGTTTTTCTCCTTTTCTTTGCAACAGACAACTAATCCTGCCTTCAGACGCCCTGAGAATATAGTTCTCAGACGTTTCAGTGATTTTCTTGGCCTTCATGCAAAACTGGCAGAGAAACATGTGCCTTTGGGAGTGATTGTACCTCCTGCTCCTGAAAAAAGTGTTTTAGGTGAGTAAATGTTTGTCCCTCTCCCTCTCGTACATTCATTTTTGTCTTTTCAAAATTTCCTCAATAGAGCATTCAACTTGTGAAGTGAAGTACTGTGAAAGAAATTCTTTTAGTTTTTAAAATGGGGACTTGGGTAAGTTATTTTGTTCAATTTCTTCTCTTTTCATAATGATTTCTCAATTTGCATACACTCAGGATATAGTTTTTTTCATAAATGTAATAATAATAATAAAGAGATCACATGTGATATAGAAAAGTTAGCTGTGAAAGTTTTCAGAGCAATGAAGGAGAGACAACTGCTTACTCTTGGTAGAAAAGTGACTGCCATGAGGTAAACTTTACAGTAGGGATGGATGCTAGTCGATACTGGCCAATATCGAGTACTTTATCGACTAAGAGAGCCCAATATTGATAAGTACTCAGATACTTACCAAGATTCAACAAGAGACATAATAAAAGTTTCTTACTGTAATATTGTCAATCATTTTTTACCATAACATGATTTATTAGCCTGAGTTTTGTGTATTGCTGTTGGGGTTTTTCAATTAAACCTGTTTGTGTGTTTGCTTTTTGTTTTTGTTTTTGTTTTTGTTTTTATTTGCTTTTTTTAGGGGGGGGGGGAGACTGGGCTTCATTAAAAAAAAAATATTGTAATTTAGCTGAACAACAAAAGTTGCCTTCAGAATTTTGGGGGATCGACTGCATGAACTCTTGGAATTCCCCCAACTTCCACCATGTAAACCGGTCATATATCTTTGTATAGCAAGGGTAATAGTTTTTCTGTCACGGCATTTTAAATGCTTTTTAGTTTTAAAAACAGATACCCCAACGTGCCAAAACTTAGTATCGATTTGTAATTTAGTATTGACTATGCGGCAAAAATATCTAAGTACTTACTTTGGAGGTCATTCTTAATAAGTACCAATGGACTGGTCTTACTTTATCAAATCAAAGTTCAAGCTGATTTTTTAAGTGGAAAGAGTGGGTGGTTGGCGGGTGCTCTGGTGTGGTTTGCTCCTTCTTTCCTATCAAACATCTATCTGCCATATCTCCCCTCCTTCTATTTTGTGTTTGTTACTCCTTTGTAACACCTCTAATCTTCGGCACGTATTTGACCTTATTATGTTGCAAGTGGCGTAAAACACTTACTACTACTAAGTGGAAATACAAAAATCTGAAAATCCGTGATTTTCTTATTCTGTCTTATTGAATTGTGATCTCTGTGAGGTTATTTCTCATGTGGGCGTTGCTCAGCCTCCCCACTCCCCCTCTTGATTGTGTGTGCTTGGTGGGCGTGTCTGGTAGGTCTTATTACCTATTCTTCTCTCATTTCAGTTTATCTTTTTTGCATTTATTCTGCCAATGTGCTTCTCTTTATCTGAAATAAAACAAAACAAGGAAGTCGTAACTCTGGGGCATACTGTAATTTCAGTTGACACCTTATCCTTCTTCCTTAATATATTTCTTCAAAGCTTCACTTCCAACGAATGAGATGCAACTGTTTCTTGAAAAAAAGAGTCCTTTGACATTTTGTAATGGTACTTGTGTATCTATGATAGATGATTCTAATTTTAGCTCTGTTTATGAATGTCAACATTGTTTGTTGAATTAAGTACTTAAAAAATATCAGCAAATGCTTTTAGAGGTACAGTGATTTCTGTATAAGAATGTGGTGAGCCTAAGAATAAGAACTTGCTTTTATAGTGTAATAGAATTTTTTTTCCTCTTAAAAAATTTGCATGCCTGAGAACCCTTCTATAAACAGATATCCATATGAGAACCTGGTTTGGGCTTAGGGCAATAAATATTTTTGAACTGCTATACCATACTTTGTGCAGGCAAGGATGAATGGGAAAGGTTGGGAAAGGTTTGGCATGGACTAGCAGACAATGAAATCTACACCTTACATTCACATTGTGACAGAATGCATTTTTCAGGCACACGTGTGAGGTCTTTGGAGTGGGTCAATTGCTAAGTTGTTTTTGATTGCTACAATCTCTTCCTCCTCTCACATGGTTAAACTTTTCTATCATCCCTCTGATGTTGTCAGTATCATCTACGGGTCATTTCAAAATTCACTACTAACAGGAAACCAGCAGGAAGGAGTTAAGTTGGGACCTTGGAAATCCGACTAAGAATAAGATCTACTGAAGAATTTTTTAACATTTTGCTGCTGTCTCCCAATGGCTGGGTTCTTAGGCAGAGACCTCTGCATTTATTTGAAATTATCATATTTTGAGGGAGAAGGTTTTTATTACAAAATTTTGTTTAAGGGTAAGTGTACAGTGAATTATTATTTCAAACTGTGTGAGAAAACTTGGTACATGCTTGATGTATGGTATCATATGTCAGTATTGTGGCAGGCAATGAGTTATGTATTGATTTTGTGGAGCACACTTTTTTTTTGTCCCGGTGGTAATACATTTTGGACAGCTCACATGTTTAGGTTGTTTTTTTTCCCTTGGCTTTAAGTTCCAGTTTTGTTTTGGGCTTACTGTGTATATTGTGGCTTTGATTTCCATAAATGTTTATGGACAATTTTTATGAAAAGTCTTGGAAAAATGATGGGAATAATGTCCTGTAGAGTTATGTTACTTGGTGCAAAGACGTGACATTTTGTCAAATGCAATCATTTCAGCTTTACATTAAGTTTGTGGCATGGAATTTTGAGATCACTTTTAAGAACCTCATTTTCGCTGGAACAAAATTGGTTCTAACTAGAGAAATGTTTGTTGTGATGGCTGTGTACCTTATATTTTACCGTTATGTTCCTTCTAATTTATTGGGGAAAAATAGTGGTCCTGGAATATGATACCCATCTAATTTATATCTTGTTGTCTTTGACATTTTGAAAACTAAAGTTGACAGTCATAGTCAAGTTGAACTTTAGATTTAGATCTGAGATTGCCACCCCTTCTTCTGCTTTTTTGTGGGCACGTTGTAAGATTTAATTTGTCAACGAAAATCATGTAAGTGTCAGTTGAATGTCATGCAGAAAAGTTTTTTGAAACAGGTTTTTGTTCAGTTGTGTTTTCTGTGCCTAAAGTTGAATTTGACATTTGAAACCTATTTTGCTATCAATTGTGGACAAAAACATCCGTTACGCTCACTTTTATTATGACGGTTCTGTGTTCTTCCTCAGGTATGACAAAGGTCAAAATGTCAAAGGAAGAGTCGGGATCAGCTGACTTTGTTGAGAGACGTCGTGCAGCTCTTGAGAGGTAAATAGACTTTGCCAGTTGTCTACTCTCTTCTAAACACTTTTCAAAGCTATTTGTCTTGCATCGTGGTGAAATCAGGTGTTCATCAAAATAATGAAATCAAAGAAACCGACATTTTTTTGTCTGTTAGGCAATTTTTTATTGAATTTTCTTTTTAGGCTCAATGCCTTTTATGTCCTTTTAAAACGCATATTTGTGTGAATTTTACTGAAAAACATAAATCAAAGAACACAAAGAAATGTAAATTCTCAGTTTTCAAGGGCACTCAGGCTTCGGAAGGCACCAAACTTTGGCGACCATTTTCTGGCTAATTTTACCTCTGACATGAGAATAAAGACAAATGAATAGGCTTTAAGAATATACCAATAACTGCATATGACCAAAAATTGATAAGCGCTTGATTCCACTGTGTCTTGACACATTTGTTTAAAACTGTAATTTTAGTAGTTACTTATCATTCAAATTGTTATATCTTCTTACTTTGTTGAAAAGAGCTTATCATATACTGTACTGTACCAGTTCCTGCACATGTAATCCAATATAAGGTAGATAAGACAAATCTTTATTGTCCAGCAGGTACCAGCTCATTGGTTTGGTGTTGTTCCATATGTGTGCTCACCCGTTCGAACATACTCTCTCACACATCTTCTCTTCCAAGTTCCTCATACATCTAAACGTATAATATCTGCTTACACTCACAAATATACCCACAGTCACATGCATATGATATATATAAACAGTTTTGGTCAGGGTTCCCACCCAACCAGGAATACAGGAAAGACCTAAGAATTTCATATTCAGATTTCCTGGTCGGGAATGCACCATGAAAATGAATGAAAGCTAAAATAACCGTGGGAAGATGGGGAAATCAGAATCAGGGATGAAGTCTACATCACGTCATGTTCAGCTGTCTAAGTAAAACTTTAACATTTTCTGTACACAGAACCTTTGTAGTTGCCCAGTACCACTGTGCCCTTTAAAAAAACATCAGTTGTGCCAAAGCCAGGAGTAAGGACAAGATTAATTTGACAAGATGCTGAAAAATTTCAACACTTTTGCGCTTTGGTAGACAGCTTAGGCCAATGAGAAAATGAAAAGAAAAAGGTGGATCTTGTTTGACATTTGAAACAATCAGCTGCCTTGCGTAGCATGTTTTGTAGTGATATACAATCAGGATCAAAGGTTTATAATGCGTCCCATCAGTTTCTTTGGGTTTTGCAAGAGTCAAGCCGACATCCAATAAGTACACTCCCCCGCCCCTATTTGACAAGTGACGTCCTGTATTGTAAACAATAATAATGTTTAATCTAGGTATGTAATCAGTATCCTGATAATAATTTGGTGGTATTCTGATAATGCATGCTTTAAAAGTCATAGAAATACTTATATTGCAAGATGATTAGGATGGTAGGAGTTTAATGGATGGTGGTAAAAATTACCTTTTTCTATCTTCTTTGTCACCCATCAGAAGCCTAGGTCTTTTTACTTCTTAATGACATTTTGATTTGAGGTACCAAGGAATGTTGGTTGTTTGGAAAGATGGAATTAATTTTCCTTATGCAAGGGATATTGCATAGTTTATTGAAACAAGAGAATTTAGTTGTAATTTTGCATGCTTTCGATGTTAGAAAATTTCAATATCAGCAAATTCAGTTTTACTCTATCTTGATGTCTTGTATTTACGGCCCATGTTGTCATACAGAAAGAGATCATACTTTCTGTGGTTAAATTTATAGAATGTGCGCAGCAATGATATATCCACGCTTTTAAAAGTGACACAAGCTTTTTAGCTTTTTTAATTTAGTATATGACTTACACAACTGTGTGTCAGGTTTCCATATACCTGCTAGGAACCACACTGGAGAAGACTAGTGAGAGATGTTTCACTCGTCAGCTGGCCCCTATTCACACCGTGTTATCCGTGCGAGATCGGTGACCTGGTGCCTCGAAACTGTTTCACGCCGTACATTTCCTGGTCTGCTTTTCTCAAAGTCACTTCCCCTTATTATTTCCTATAATTTATACTTGGGACAGAGAGAGGAGCGAGGAGTCATCTCAGTTAATACATCGGAAGTAGTGATATGTGTTGAAGTTGATCAATAAATTGGCTCATAATTGATCAATTCATCAAATTTATGCTCCAGGGATGGAAGAAGAGGAAGAAGAACAAGAATAAAAGCAAGAACAAGAAGAAATAAAGAAGAAGAAGTAGAAGAATAGAAAAGATTTGGCATATTTTGCGCACTAATGCAATGAGATTTGGGCCAGGAATAAGGAGAGGGGACGTGACCAAGACAGACCAATAATTATACTGACTGAGAGAAAACATACAGTACGGTGTGTTTTGAATTTTTCATCTTTCATGTGTGGATGTGGGTATGACGTGACGGTAAAGAAAGAGAAATTGTATTGAAAACCTAAGCTGGGCCCCCTTTCAATGAAAGGAACGGTCTGTGCTTTAATATCAACTAAAAGTCATTGGCCTACTATATTTATACACTCTACTGGAACGAGGCAATAAATCTTGAGAGATGCAAAAAATTAAAAGGTCTAGATCTATACTCTCAAAACAAAATGCGCCTCGCGAAATATCACTTCCGGATTTTCTAAAATTACTGAGACAGAAGCGTCGGCCTACAAAAGCGATCCGCGAAATAAAGAAATTTTGCTTTTTGGAGCAAAACAGTCTCAAAACTGAAACAAACCAAGAGTGTCATGGTCTGGACAATATTTTAAAGAATCTTTTGGCGAAAACCGCAAGTCGATCGATGCAGCCATTAAAAAGGGTTTTGAATAGCAAAATTCGGCCACCGCAAAAAGATAATAGATTCAGACCAATCCCCTTACTTAATTTACTAATGCCATTTTGAGGGAGAGACACTACCACTATCACCGCCATCATCCCTATCTTCACCATTATCTCATCATGAACCTGATGCTCCATCATTACTACAACATCATCATAGCAATTACCAACATAAAGCCACAACCTTCATTCGTCGATCTATTGTTTTATAATCATCGTCGTTAAAAACACTGAGAGCATGTTATGTACTATTAAAGTAAAAGATGCTTAAGAACTAGCTCGAACTTCCTGGTGACTATGGCAAGTGATTTCTAATTAAACAATGCAACGCCAATCAAATTAACTCACATTTTTGGATCCAGAGGGAAGGAAAAGAAGGCCAAATCAGGGCAGCTAATTTTGGAATTGGTACAATTAATAGAACTTTAAAATCAAAATCTTGACTAGAATGTTCGACTCCATCTATCAATACTTTCATGTGTGGATGTGGGTATGACGTGACGATAAAGAAAGAGAAATGGTGTTTAAAACCCATTCAGACCTATACCCTTACTTAATTCACTATGAAAACAATACGATGATTCATTGGTTGAGAGGAACAGAGTATGGTTGTACGGCATGAAATTTTTACCTTACGCCTGACCCCAGTCTCGCCTAAATCGAGGAGTGATGTTTCTCTACTACTCTTAGTCTCCGACCGCACTAACAATTCAGTTAGGTCACTTTGATACTCGTGTTTTTAATTGGTTTCTCTCACAGCTTGAATTATAGAATATAGACAAAAGTCAGATGGACTTCTATAAGTTGAAAGTAGCAGTTTTACTGGGTTTTTTTTTTTCTTTTTTACTAATTTTTATATTCTTCCCAGAACACATTGACAGAGTTTTTCCTTTTATAGAAAAAGATATTGATCCATTTATTTCATAGAGTCTTGAAAAATTCAAATCTAAGTGTAAGTTGTCTCCGGAAAAAATAAAAGTAATTAAACATGAATAATTCTCGCTTTTGGCTTTTATGCTTCAAGTTTGGAAAAGCATGTTCACTACCCAGATGTCCATCCTTTTTTTTCTGAAAGGACAGGTTGTATTATTTTATTGTTGTAGTGAGTATTGGGGTCCAGTGCCAAAGTATCTTGAATGTCATGAATCATTGTGTAAGTATGATTTCAATATTCACTTACAGATACTTGATCCGCACTGCTGCCCATCCCATGCTTGTCACGGACCCAGATTTTATAGAGTTTCTTGAAAAAGATGGCGATCTCCCTCGCTCTACCAGTACATCAGCCCTCAGTGGAGCAGGAGTCATGCGACTTTTCCATAAAGTGGGAGAGTCATTTGAGAAGATCACTTTGAAAGTTGATGAAAGTGATGAGGTCAGTAGAGATGATATCATCTTGCATATATTATTGTAAGCACTTTGCTGGTTGGGTTTATGGAGTTTGTTGGCTAAGAACTGGACATACAAGTAGATGGTTCAGTTTTAATCTTGATTGTAATTTTTAAAAAAAAATCTTTTCTTTTCTGGAAAGTTTCTTCTCTTTTCATGACTTTATTTTAGGGAGCAAGTGCTTAATATTCAAAATGACCAGTTCTATACCCAGCAGGGTACAAACTGCTTAGGCAAGTTCTGCATGCCATTGGTGACTTTTTCTCCACTTTAGGGAGACTGGTTTGAATTTGTTGAGTATTTTCCTGAAGTCAGAAAACTTTGGAAGTGCAGATACTTTTACGTTGACGAATATCCTGGATTTTTTTATCAAACAGTTTGATACGTTTTTCAATAAGTTTTATGTGAGATGAGAACTCAGTCCAATGGCAGCATATATTTCCTTTCTATAACATGTGCAGATAGTGTTTTTCTGTCTTACTGCAGTTTGTATTTTTGGTATAGCTGAAGAATTAAGTAGAAACACCTAATAACAATAGGGTGATTTGTGCACCTTTAGCTCTGTTCGTGCTTTTTGCTATAAATGAGATGCAAGCTAGTCAGTCCATTATGTTACAGAGTTGTAAAACTTTACTGTACTAATTCAAAGCCCATGGGTTGTTGGCACAACTTTTTTTTTCTTTCAAGAGTTTGACTTTGTACCTATGAATGTGTGTATCTTTGTGTGCTATGCTGTATCCCGACTGTTGGTACCTTGGTCTGTGCCATCCGCTTCTGTCCTCTACCATTGTTTCTGTCTCCATCACAACCAACCGTGCCAGCAGTCGTGGGGTTTTTACCTCCATAACTATTTTTGCTCAATCATCCCACGATCTCCTTCGGGCCAGTGGAGCCAAGAGGAGGAGGTAACTCGATTTTGAACGCTGTTTTTTGTTTCCTTTCTTTGCTGGTGTCGTGGATGGTTTTGTCATTCTTTTGGGTTTGCATGTTTGTATTTAATTTTTTTCTTTACTGTACTGCTGCAGTGTAGGTCAATTTCATGGCATTGATTGTGCATTTCCTGTTTCTATATCATTTGTTGCATGATTGTCCATGACAGTCAGTGGTGCACTATAGTAATTGTGATTTTATACATGTGTCTTTGACATTAGCTACAGACACCTTAGTCCTTTTGTTTGATAATTATTTGTCAGTCTTTCCTACCATTACGTACTGCTTGCTTTGAACAGGAGGTATAAATTGTATCATAGCCACTGGGGAGTTTTCACCTGTTTTTTTTGGGGGGGGTGGGGGAGGGGGGGGGTTGTGTGTTATATTTATATATAAATGGCCTCCAAAGTTTGATGAGTACCAAGGCTTGGAAGTCCTTGGAAACTGAAAATTCACTTTTTTTGTGCCTTTAGTGAACATTTTTCAGTTTGTTCCACGCTGACATGTGGTTTTAAATAGACATAAAAGGCGTTTACAAAAGGCAAACATTGTATAAAAATTGCAAAACAGGCAGAAAAGCGTCGGTTTCTTCAATTTGATTCACTCTTTGGATGAGTGCCTGATTTCACCACAAAGCCTTGCTTATGATTTTCCTAGTTTGCTAGAATAATCTGCTATTCAGATGGTTTCTTAAACTGGTCTCTCTAGTTTCTCATAAACTTTACTTTGAAGCGTTCCATGTGATCTGATCCAATTCTTTGAGAATGAATAGAGAAGAGCTGCTGAAAGGTCATACTGTCTTTATTCATGCCCTCTGTCATTTGTGTTTGTGCTCAAGTTTTTGTTTTCTAACTGCAACTTTATGGTCATTTATGGTCATGTTTTCTGTGATGTTGTAGTCTTTTGTTCAGGACTTTTCGTGGAAAATATAAAGAATAAAAAAAAATTATTTATACTCCATGGCTGCTGTCATGCAGAGTAGGTTAGGAACTTGCTCTGCGGAGCTTAAGTCCAAGGTAAAATTCTGTAATAGGATTTTTGTACTTCTTTTTTGTTGTTGTTTTTGTGGATTATTTCCTCTCTGCCAAGAGTTCTCACAGCTAACCCATTGCTCTCAAAATCGTGTCCTGGAAGTATATTTATTTATCATTATGATAGCAATAATAAGATTTAAACTTCAGAAAGGACAAAAGAAATGTCAATTTCATTGTGTCACAACTGAAAACAGGACTTAAATCTGCCTGTCTTACAACTCCATGTTTCTTTTTGAGTGAAAAAAGCTGTTAGCCTTGCACCCAAATAGTCTGTACATTATTGATAACTGGTAATAAAATCAAATATAAAGTCATTAAGGCCATACAAACTGCTGAAGAATCTGTTATAAATTAATTATTTCTGTTGGTGGAAATGTTTTGATAATTTTGCAGTTTTTAAGAACACAGAACAACCTCACTTACTGGTCATTACTGCTTCAGAGAATGTCATTGTTTTCACTTCTCATATCAAATATGCCTGGCTTTGATTTGACCTCTTTGGATCTAGTTTGAATTAAAATAATGATAAAGAAACAATGTAGCAACAGAATTGCTGTTTATTATTTGAAAGCGCCTCTGTGAGTTCTTGTACTATGGCACTCTACTTTATGGATGTTTTTTAGTTTTGTTTTCAAGTACAATGACATCACTGTTGTTTTAATATGATTGTCTTCTATTTTGATAAACGGTGATTTTCAATAAGTAAAAGTAGATTCAGAATTGCATCGAAAGAAATGCAAAATTATCTCTTTTTTTTTGGTCTTATAAAAATACATGAGACATCGTGGTGAAATCAGGCTCTCGTCACAATAATGAAATCGAAGGAACATATTTTTTTCGCCAGTTCGAACATTTTTATTGAATGTTTTATTTTGGGCTCAACACCTTTTATATTGATTCAAATATACATTTGTGTCATGTTGCGGTGGAATCAGGGCTCGTCAATTTTTGGGCATGTGGAAGTTATTGGTATCATCTGAAAGCTTATTCATTTGCCTTGCTTTCAATGAAAAAACTACCTATATATCTTGAATAGAGATCGGAATATTTGTGATTGAAAGTGGTGAAGGTTGCCCGGTTTCAGAGGTAAAATTAGCGAGAAAGTGGCCGCCAAAGTTTGAAATCTTCAATAGTTTGAGAGTCCTTGAAAAAGAAAATGTACATATTTTGTTACTTTGACAAACAAGTTTCAGTAAAAGTCACATGGAAATGGGTTTTTATATGAACATAATACATGTGGAACTAAAAAACAAAAATTAAATAATAATTGCCAAACTGGAGGAAAAATGCCTGTTTCTTGTATTTCATTATTTTGAAGAGTGCCTGATTTCCCCACAATGCCTCACATTTCTGTTTTGGTTTTACTGAAAAATGTAGATCAAAAGAACGGAAAAATGTAAATTTGCAGCTTCCGAGGATAGTACTAACTTGGAAGTCACTCAACTTTGGTAAATTTTACCTCTGACACCGGGCCGTGCCCATCTCCTTCAGTCGTGAATATCTTGACTTCTATTCAAGATGGATGGGTATTGATTTCACCAAAAGCAGGGCGAAATGGGACTGCTTATCCCAATATCTCCATGTGCCCAGAAATTGATGAGGGCTGATTTCACTGTGTCATGACACATATTTGTGTCTGCTGAAAGATTTTTACACTATAAATCTCGATATCAGCCCTGAACTTAGATTTGAACAGTAAGTTTATAGTCTGTGACTTGCACCTCACTTGGGATGGTGATATATGAAGAGTGATAATCTTAAGTTTGTTTTTCTCAAAGAAATATGCTCATATGGTTGTGCTCTGTGTGCTTTCCCCTGTGCATTGTAAAAGTGATTGGTCAATTTTAGCCGTAGCCTCTTGATCTCCATTTGTTTCAGTTTGTTGTTTTCTTTGTGACTCCGTATGCTCATGCATTGTGGCACATTATCATTTGCTTTAAAGTGATTGGTTCTTCTGGGTTGTGACAGCAACTTTTCATTTAAATGGGCAAAAGTTTTTTTTGTAGTTTCCCAATAACAGGTTTTTTAATTTTGATGCTAAAATACAGTTTTTTCCTAAGTGACATCTAATATAGAAGAAATGATTTGTCTACTTGTTTTGTTTATGAATTTATTGTGATTTGAGGCAGGGGCTTCAGGGAAGCTCAAAGGCCTACCGTTATTTTTCACATTTTTGGGCTCTGATTGTATTAAAAACTAATTTAGAGTATGGTTCACAAATTACAAACATACCAACTTGTTTAGATGTCTTGGGTATGATGAATGTGTATAATGATTCTTTGTCATGTGCGATCACTCATGGTAAATTGTCTTAGTTGTTGTAAACCTCTGTTGTATGGTTCTCTCAAACTGCATTGTGTCTTGTATTAATTAAGGATCTAAATTTTGGAAAAACTATTTTGTTTTTCTCTTTACTTTTTGGTAGTCTGCCATTGTTAAGAAAAAGGAATGTGTGTTTAAAATCTTTCTTTTAACTTCATTTGGGTTTGATCCATGGGTACAGGTTCTTTTTAAATATATATAATTCTAATTTGCCTCTATCCTTGGGTACAGGTTTTTTTGTGACACACATTGTCTAACCTTTTAGAAGAGTACTTTTCTGACGAACACATTTGTGTCATGACGCGGTGGAATCAGGCCCTGGTCAATTTTGGGGCATATGGAGTTATCAGTATTGTCTTACTGAAAACTTGTCCATATGCCTTGCTTGTGATTAAAAAAATATCCATTTATCTCAGATACAAGTTGAGATATTGGCGATTGAAGGAGATGGGAGTCGCCTGGTTTCAGATGTAAAATTAATGAGAAAACGGCCGCCAAAGTTGAGTTATTTACTTAGTTTGAGAGTCTGTGAAATCTGGAAATTTACATCTTATATGCCTTCAATCAACGTTTTTCAGTAAATTCGGCCCAGAAATATGTTCTTTAATGGGCGTGAAATGTGCTGAGCCAAAAAACAAAAATTCGATAAAAATTCCCAAACCTGCAGAAAAATGCCAGTTTCTTGACTTTCATTATTTTAACGAGTGCCTGATTTAACCACGCTGCCTCACATTTCATGTGGATCAGTAGTTTACCTACAAGTCTCTTAATATTTTTGCTATTTGGAACATTTGTTTGAATTATTTTAGTGAGCAAAAGTGTTAGTTATTGACACATTTATTCCTTGCTGACTATTCACTTTTCCTTTGGTGAATAATTTTTTTAAACAGCAATTTTTTTTCAGATTCTGTAGGGAGCATGTTTTGTCAGATTAGCATTCAGCATCTGTAAACTAATTTAGGGCTATTTTGTAGGCACATTGCTAGACTCATGTTTGTATTTTTTCCCCACATCTTTCAAAAGTAATAACATTTTTATTTTATTTTCTCTTTTCAGTGGTTTCAGGAGAAACATCAGCAAGTAGAGGCTTTTGATTTGCAGCTCAGAAAGTTACATTCCAGTATAGAAGCTCTGTCATCTCATCGTAGAGGTAGGCTTTGCTATATTCACAACTAGAGGTGTATTTAACTGTTCTTCTTCCTTTATGTGCATCTCATAACAAAAAAAACCCCATCTGTATGCTTGCATATGTTCACTGTGAACCTATTTGAACTTAATGAAATACTGTTGAACCTGTGTAAAACGGCCACCTATTGTCATAGAGAAAAGTGGCCGTATAACACAGGTGGCCGTCTTAGGCAGGAATGATCAAAATGAAGAAAGAAACCATTCCCTTCTGAGGTCCAAACCAGGGCTGATCTTAGGCTTAGGGCTGCCGTAAGGCTAATTCAAAAGGGTTATTGTTTTCTTTTGAAAAAAAAACTTGGGGGGGGGGGGGGGGCGTTTTTTTTTAATTTGTTGTTTGGTTAGTTTCTTTTTTTGTTGCTGATTTTGTGCAAGTTAAAAATATACGAATGTAAGACGATGAAGGCCGAGTATCATGGTAAAACAAACACTGGATCGCCACCACACTGAGAACGAGCAACGCTTCTGTGGCAAATTCACGTCAACATCCATTGTTACTTTGTTACAGATTAGGTACACAAAACAATGACCAGTCAACTCACATAATATATGATTTGTGTGTGTGGGTTGTGGGCGGGGCTTATAGGTTATGACGGATCACTCACTTCCGTCACCAGCAGTTGAAAATTCATTGTTACCCATTGGTCAGTTTGAGTAAACATTCATTGGAATGACTGACAACAATGACTATTTAGAATTTATAACAAAGAATCGAACAAACAAGACCAAACCTGGCTGTCTAAGGCAGGTAAATTTGCCAGTGGGTTGATAAAATAAGGTGGCCGCGGCCGCGTTGGACAGGTGACCATTTTACACAGTTAAATTATATAGAAAAAACGCAAGGGAGGAAATGGTAAGTGGCCGTTTGTGCAGGTGGCCGTCATGGCAGGTTTGACTGTATTGTAGCTGACAATTAAATGTTCAGCTAATAAAGTAAAAACTGGCTTTTGTAAACAATAACTGTATGACTGATAGAGTCTAGATGATAATGGCAAAAGGCCATGCATTATTATATTGGTCTAGAAAAATATTTTTGTTTTTCTAAATTTTTTTCTCCAAAAACTACTAGAATAAGCCCAAGTATATGCAACTATTATGCTGAGAAGGTGGATGCACAAATTTTCTGTATATGGGTCACTGTGTGGTGAAATCTGGTGCTTGTCAAAATAATGAAATAAGAGAAAGGCATTTTTCCACCAGTTTGGAAATATTTATCGAATTTTAGTTTTTGGCCCAACCTCTTTCATATCCATATAAAAACACATTTCTATGTGAATTTTAATGGAAAACACTGATTAATGGCACAAAATATGTCATTTTTCAGTTTTCAAAGACTCTTTAGTTCTTGGAGTTTCCAAACTTTGGCGGCCATTTTCTCGCTAATTTTTCGACTGAAAACCAGGCAACCTCACTTCCTTCAATCGCAGATATCTTTAGTTCTATTCAAGATTAAGGGATATTTATTTCATTGGAAGCAAGGCAAATAAATCAGCTTTCAGATAATGCCAATAACTCCACATGCCCAAACATTGATACGCCTCATTCCACCGCGTCATGACGCATATATATGTTTTCTTAACAGTAATATTATAATCTAGGGTAGTCAGTGTTTTTTGCCAATGGGTAACTTCTATCTCTATGAAATAAATATCTTTGATAGAACTCTGGCACATATTTGGGTCTTTGCAATACCCTTATCTTTGAAAACTCTGAAGAATAAATCTTTTTCTGCCCAGAGCTGAGTACAAGCACTGCAACGTTTGCCAAAAGTGCAGCCATGCTTGGCAATGTTGAAGAACACACTGCGCTGTCACGAGCCCTTTCTCAGCTAGCTGAAACAGAGGAAAAAATTGAGGTGCTTCATAAGGACCAGGCAGAGGCAGATTTCTTTGTGATGGCAGAGCTCATGAAGGACTATGTTGCTCTTATGCAGGCTGTCAAGGTGAGTCCTTGAAAGCAGAGATATCGTATTAAAATCAGATGTTAATTTGATTGTCCAAATACTGGCACTTAATCAGCTGCATGCACTGTATGCTTTCAGGCACGCTGAGAATGTTTCTGGATGTTATAGTGTCTGCTGGGGTAACAATATAGTGTAAAGCGCATAGAGCTTGCTGTCGAGTGGTGGTATGCGCTATACAAATGCTATTTATTATTATTATTTTGTATATTTGGTGTAAATTCACTGACTGGGTACCCCTGTTGGTTTTAATTTGGCCACTGATTTTATTGACTCACTAGCGGTCTCAGTAGTTGTGGTATGGAAAGTCATGCTATTTAAGGCCTGTTTATTGAATAGTTGCATCCCTTTATCCATTAGCATAGCTATTGTGATTTATTTTTTTCTGAGGTGATTTACAATCAATATTTGTTCAATGCTCATGGCAGAATTTCTTCATTTGCTTGTATTCATTGCTCTTGCACTAGATGCCATATTAGCACAAAAGATTAACTTCTTATGAAAAGCTCCAACTTTTTTAAAATTTGTGCTTGGCGTGATCCTAGAGACTCTTTGAAATAGATAACATCAACAGGGCAAATGTTTTTTTTTATAGGTGTAGTTAATATTTAACATGTATGAGGTACTGACCAATTTGGACCTACTTTTATTTAGATTGTTTAATTTGCATCATACTTGGCGTTTTATAACAGGATGTGTTCCATGAGCGTATCAAGACATACAAGCAGTGGAAGGAGGCAGAGACTACTCTGGGCAAGAAACGAGAAGCAAAAGCCAAATTTGAAATGCAGAACAAGCTGGATAAAGTGGCTCAGGCTCAGGCTGAAATTACAGAGGTAATAGAACTTCTTATTTGCTCATATTCCGTAATAGGGTTTAGGGTATAGGAGGGTGCAGCTGGTATATTTTGCCTCCGAGCTATCCCTTTTAAATTTGTATTTTCTTCTCTTTTCAACTCAAATAGAGGTTGGGGGGGGGGGGAGGGTGAAAATGCGCTTCCCCATATCACAAATAAAATAGTAGGTTCTGTCTGTCTACCTATTCCTTTTTCCTACCTGCCCTTTTGTCCATTCACTCTTCTTTTTGATTTGTTTGTCTCTATATTTGTGTCTTTGTCTGACTCTCCTTCTGTCTCTGGACAATTAATATAATGCACACTTGGTGATGCGATTTGGAGAAAGGGGACGGAATTGCCTTTGAATATTGTGGTTGTGACTGCCATTTTACAAAGCTACTTTCTTGGTTTGAACGCTTCAATGCTTTGCAGTTTCACTAATCATTTAAGAAAGAAAAAGTATCATAAATTATATTCGTCTGAGTGTTGTTACTGCAAAAGGGACTGAGTTGGACAACCAAATATGTTTGTTGTATAATTAGGTCTATGCTGGTAGTTGCTAGAAATTCATTTCACAATAGTGCATGTTGAACATAACGTAATTACCCCCCGGGGCGGTGCTACTGACAGAAGTGTTTTTAGGCCATTCCCAAAGGGGGTACATTAATATGCACAGTAGAATTGTAAATTGTAAATGGGCTGATTCATCAATGTCATGCTCATAATCATAACTGTGCCTGAACTGCAACCGGGAACTGCTGCTTTTTCTTTCCTTATCCTTGCTATAGTAATTTTTACCTCTACTTCTTTTGTATGTTTGTCACACTCTTGTGACCCATTATTTCCGAGGTGTCTTGATAGTTGAAACAGACTTTGTGCTGTTGAAACTAGAGAGGTGAGCAGAGTAAGACCGATTCCCTGTAAGGACTTCTCTGTTGACATTCTCCCCTTGGTGCTGATATGACTTTCTGCTGTTCCGAGCGCCATAAAACCTCTACTAAAACTATAAAAAAACATAATGCATTTAGTTAACATTGCATACTTTAATTGAATCTTGTTCTATTCAAAATCCCATAAGATGAAACAGGGTTTTGTTATTGATGATAAATATGGATAATTTTTTTTTGGTCCACAGTGGGAACAAAAAGTAGAAACTGGCAAGGAAGACTTCTCTAAAATCTGTAAAAACATCAGGAAAGAGATGACCCGATTTGAGAAGTTGCGGGTCAACGACTTTAAAAACAATGTGATCAAATACCTGGAGGTGCTGATGGAGAACCAGGAGAAGGTGAGGTTTGAATTGTGGCTAGTGGTTCTAGTTTGGTTGCAAAGAATTTTAGTCCGCGAGCACCCCCAGTCTCAGGAGTGAACACAAAATCTCACTTTCCTGCCTTAGACTTTGGTTATTTGACATTGTGCTGAATAAAGGTGATGCCTGAATTTCTTGATGAGATGGCTTGTAGCTTGAAGTTTTGATAAAAACTTTCAAAATAACAGGATAAATGGTAGTACAACACAGTAGCTTTCTCTATGATGCTTTACAACCTTTTTATGAATGTTATCATAAACGTATATTTCAAGGAAAAGGTAAGAGTTCACCTTTTCTCTTAATTTCATATTCGCATGTTTATCACAAACTGAATTTTAGTTTAACAAGTTGATTGGTAATAGATGCTAACATTGTATATACGCTGGGTTGGTTTTGTAACTAGATAGGTCAATTTATTATTTAAAGCTATTTATATAGGAAGGTAAATTGCATGTTTAAAATTTAAAAAATTTTTGACCAGTGAAAATAAGGAACTTGGAAAAACATCAACATTAAATTTGTTTTTTTTAAGAACTAACAGCTTTGATTTGAGGTGATTCCAGGTCTATTCTGGGCATTTTCTTGAAAGAGGCCATGAAATAGATTCTTTGTTTACAGTTATGTCTTCAAAGCAATCTACCCTAGGCTATGGTCTTTGTACTTTTCAATCATGTAATTGTCTACCGGAACAAAAGAGCTTTGTATCTTTCCTGTTTTACACTATAAATTTCTGTACAATTTTTGTTTTGATCAAGTATTGACTCACTTGCGACTGGGCCCTTTCACCAGTCACAAGCGTTGAAGACTGGCGTTTTTGGGGGTATTTCAATAAATCACCACAACTCTCAGGATTACCCTTTTGTAATCATTTTTTGACACAGTAAAGTAACATTCAAGCTTAATCTAATACAAAAAATTAAAGTTGTCTAAGTCTAATACTTTAATTTGTATGATATTTTAAAAATTGGCATGAATTTGATTTTCCGAAAAATTTCCAGAGACGTGACAAGTAGAATGAAATTCACTGCAACAACAAAAATAAAAGTTCAAAGTGTTCTGGTTTGATTTGTATACATGTGCGAGTGTTTGATGAAAATATAAAAGCTGGTCTGTGCATTGATTCAGACCTATACACTGAATTACATGAGACAGATGTACGACACGACGTTGTGATTTCGTTGCGCGAAAAACAACACCGGTACTAGAGCTAGATCTAGCCCTAGAACTACGACTCGGGCCGTGTTCGGGTACATATCCAGGATCCTAACAATTAGATACATCATATTCTGAGACACTAGAACTAGTAAAACGCACAGAAGTATAGAAAACGGCTAAATTATGTGATTCTTGTTCATGCGACTTCTTCGACCGTTACTACGACGCGACTGTCGGATTACTAGGAGCTGTATAGAAAAAAACAAAGCGCGAGTTCCGGTCTGTTCAACCTCAGTTGGGGTCACTGTCCTTCACCTTCAATAACTTAAAAACTACCGGCCCCAGAGATACGAAACGAAGTCTAAGTAACTCAGGCTTGGCCAAACAAGGGTACGAGGCGTGATTTGTAGAGCGAAAAAAAAATTCCAAAGTTGGTCACGCAGGGCTTGTGTGACCCGTCGCGAGCGTCGCAGCGGGGGTCACGCAACTGTTGTGTGACCCGTCTGAAGTGAGTTAATGTGAAATGAATAGGTTTTAACTGGATTATATTGAATTTCAATTCAAGATTGGAATCGCATTTTCTTTTTTATATATATATATATACAGCCAAGTGCATGCATAGTGAAATTGTGAGAGGTGGAAATCTTTTTGTTATGTTTGAGTTTTGCTTTGTATGTGTTTTAGATACAAAGAATATATATATGTATAAGAAAACATTAGGACTTGAAAATCTGCTTTTATGTGGTTGCTGTATATACGTGTATCTGCCATTCCCACTGATGTTTGTGATTGTTGAAGAATATCATTTTTCTTTCTTCTTCAGCTCATCAAATACTGGGAAACTTTCCTGCCCGAAGCTAAAGCAATAGCATAGAATGCTGAACAAGAGCTGTGTGCAAGAACTGTATGACGTTTCAATCTGTTGGGAGTTTTTTCTTCTTCAGTTTCCAGTTAACTTGTGTTGATGTGTTGTCCTTTGGCTTCACACACATTTTGTTAGATACTTGTGTGCGTGGTGTGTGTGTGAGTGAATGCACCATCATATCGCAGAATCTGTAAGCTTTTGTTTACAGGCACAAATCGTGTTGCCTGAGGCTAGTGCTCAGCACCTGACCTACAACCAGCAAATGTTGGTTACTTTTTACAAGATTAAACAATGCTCACTCTGTGACTGGCAAGGAGGTGTGTGTGTGTGAATTTTATTCCCTTGAAGGAATAAAACTTTTTATTTATAGAATAAACTGTCTTGATTTAAGGTCTTTTCTCGGAAACGTTTTGATGTATGGCAACTGAATATTATGAAAGTGATTGTGACAGTGCTTTCATTTGATATTGGACTGTTGTTTAGGTGTTCTTTGTTTCCCTTTTTTATTTTGTTCTCAAATTACTCATCTGTCAGTATAGGAATTGTTGGTCACAGCATGTCTTTAAGATTTGGACTTTAAAAACGATGTCCTCAATTTAGGTGATATGGTACTTTTGTTCTTCATAGTACATCTGTTATTGTGGTAGCCGAGTTGCAGCTGCCCATGTTGTGTAAGTACGAGGCTCATAAATTAGCGTTTAGACTGGACTAAATGCCACATTTTATTATCAACAAGTTTCTCCTTATGCTGAGAATGACTTCCATGTTCTCCTTGATTTTGAAACATAAGCCACCATGTAATGCTGTTCACTTTGTCTGTTCTTCTTTCAGTCTTAATTTGTTGTCTAATTTATTATACTCTTTTGTTTTAGTTCATTTGCAATGGGAAGTTAAAAGACACATATATATTTACCACCTTAATTGTTTGTTTGTTTTTGATTTTGTAGATTCTGTTTTTTCAAAAATATTAAAAGCAGTCTTATTTAATTCCTACGGTTATGTATGTCCTCATTGTAATTCACCAGTTGTGTCGAACTAAGTACACATTGTTTTAAGCATATGTTGTTGAATGTAATATGCCACTGGCAGGTAGCTGGATGACTTGGATGGACATTTGTTTGAGAGCTTTTGATGTTTATTAATTTTTTTTTTTAACGTTTACATTGTGATAAATGAATAAAGTTTCCCTTCCCTTTTATTTATTTCTTGACTGGTTTTATTTCATAAAATTATATTATGTACATAATTGAGTCAGTCTGTAGGGCAATAAATGACTTAAGAAGTTTGTTCAGAGGATTGGTATTGTTAAGAAATATTTTAGAACTCAAACTATCATACTTTTGGCTCCTAATACATCATCAACATCTATTGGTCTCAATTTTATGCAAAAATAGACTAATTTGGAGGAACAGTGGAACCATTCACAGTAGAAATTGTCTAGGATGGCCGCCCGTTTTTGAGGAGAAAAGTTGCCATCTTAAAGAGGACATATCAAAATAATGAAAACAAAATATTTCCTTCTGAGGTCCCTCCCGAACGGGTCGCAGGCTTAGGACTGCCACCATACAGGCCCTTTAAAATGTTACAGTGGTCCGCTTAGAACAGTCAAATGAACCAGAAACTTTGCTTTTGCAATGTACTGGTCAGCAATTGGAGAGGCTAAGAATAACTACAGGTGAATGGATTGTGACAGCTCGTCCACTGTGTCAGGGACCTATAAATAATTTATGACAATGCATCGGCTGATGACTGATTTGTGTGGCCATCTTGAGCAGGTTTTTTTTGGCTGTTGGTTGATAACATATGAATCTTGTGTCAGTTGCTGTGTTGTACAAGTACAGGTTATTGTTTTAGGCAGTTCCATAATATAGTAAAAACACAAGGGGATGGGGTGGAAAGTATTTGTACTGGTGGTGGTCTTATACAGGTGGCCGTCTGGACAGGTTCAACTTTAGTTTAAAAAATCAAACTGTGCACATACAGATATTGCTTGAGACTGTATTCACAAAAGGGAAATTGTGAACTACTATTGACATAAAGTATATTGCAGAGGACAAATGCGTTTGTTTTGTCATACAAATGGAACTGCAATAGAAGTGGATAAACGAAGAGAGTGAAACAGAACCAGCCTAAATCAACATAGAAGTAGGTTATTGATGTTTATTAATGAATTAATGGTAGGCCTACATCGGCTTACTGAGCTTCCCATAAACTATACATAAGAAAAATATAATGTATAATAATAATATGATATAATGTATATTATACAAATATGCAAAAAGAAAAAGAGAGATTGGCTTCAGAGGCAGTTGTTACACCTCGCCAATACGTTTGTTCAATTCTAGGTTCCTGCGAGAATGTCTGGTAGTAGTAGTGGTAGACGACTTTGAGATTATCTTTCATGCTTTTCTTGTATGGGATATTTATGGTCGACCACTGTCCTGCTCAGTGTGCTTTGTCGTCTATGACAAAATGTCAAACGAAATAAAAGAGGCTTCAAGGATACACTCAAGTTGATCATCTGCAAAAATACAGGAGTTTTTGACAACCTCCGGCTTAAGTGCTAGTGCGCTCTCTCTCTCTCTCTCTCTCTCTCTCTCTCTCTCTCTCTCTCTCTCTTTCTTTCTCTCTCTCAATATCTCTCAATATCTCTCTCTCAAGTCTCAATACCCCTCTCTCTCTCTCTCAATATCTCTCTCTGTTTTACGTCGCTCACAACTGCATAAGGTCATATGAGCGCCAAAGGGTGGATGTCAAGATAAAAGTCCAAGCTGGGAATCAGGCTTACTCTGCTCACCTCTCTAGCTTCTACAGCACAAAGTCTACTTCGACGATCAAGGCACCCCGGAAATAGTTCTCAAGAGAGTGACCAACATACAAAAGAAGTAGAGGAAAATAACTACTTTGGGGCACAATCAAGCTGAAAAAGTATTTTTTCCCTAGGGATTTTAAGAATTTCAACGTACCGCATGTCGTACAGTTCACTGCAGACTTGAGCTCTGTACAAGTTTTAAAATGACACCAGTACTTAGTACATACATGTATATATAACACTCCCAGAACTCGAAACAATAATGTACATATCTGTCCCCGTCGTTTTATGCAGACACAGGGACAGTAATATGTTCTTATTCGTCTCCTTTAGCAGAATCTTATTCAAACTTACCGTGGGGGCTCTCGTGACTTAGAGGTTTATGGTGTTCGCCTCTCATTTTAACTTATTTTAAGGTCCCGTGTTCGAATCCGGGCAGCGACGGAAAAATGTTCTCTTAAATTATTGTCTCATTTCTCTTTCTCCTCCTTTCCTACTCTCTAGCAATGTTCTGTCTTCTGCTTTCGTCGCCACTTTGCCCACACCCCCTTACTTCCTCTGCCCCCTCCTTTGGGCTCCTGACTCTTTCTGTAGCCTTTCTACTGCTACTCCTTGGCTCCTTCTTACTGTTGTCTTTCAGCAACACCCTTGATCTTCTGGTAGGAAAAATCTATACCTAGCCTTCTCGGACAAGGGAGAAAAATATCGGAGGTCCCGTGTGCAAGTTGTGCACGTTTAAAATCCCTTGGTAGTCGTAAGAGTAGGCTTCGATCGCCACCCGGGCAAAATTCAAATTGTCCTACCTTCTGAAAATGTTAAATGTGTCCTGAGCGCTCATATTCTTATGCAGTTGCGAGCGCCGTAAAACACTTACAAAAAACAACAACAACAACAAAAACCCAGACTTACTGCCGCTTCTGAAGCGTGTCTGAAAACTTAAGCAGGTTAGTTAAATTACTACGCTCTACTTACAAGTTCAGATCTCGGTTTTCTTAGATGTGTGAGAAAGTTTGTTGTGACTTTCATTTATCGTCAAGATATTAAAAATTAAAAGTCGATGGAATAGCTTTTCTCTCAAAGGTTTACTCATACTGTATGGTCTGTGGTGATGTCCGAGTTTGTTTGCTAAATCCCTACAGAGGGCAGAGGGTTGTGACTCGAGAATTTCTCTCCTGCACTTAGATGCGAAGAGTGAAGCTTCGAAAAGAAAAGACTTCCAAATGCCCATGAAAATGATTTTAAAGCTCATTGCAATTGATACGTGGGTTAATTCATTTCTACGAATGGTTCTGAACCATCCGTATTAAAATTTAGCGCATTTCCAGTTATGATATCTCTCTCTCTCTCTCTCTCTCTCTCTCTCTCTCTCTCTCTCTCTCTCTCTCTCTCTCTCTCTCTCTCTCTCTCTCTTTCTCTCTCTTTCTCTCTTAGTCTCTCTCTCTCTCTCTCTCTCTCTCTCTCTCTCTCTTAATCTCCCCCCCCCTGTCTCTCTCTCTCTCTCTCTCTCTCTCTCTCTCTCTCTCTCTCTCTCTCTCTCTCTCTCTCTCTCCATTTTGTTTTTCTTCCCACGCCGTCTCTCTACAGAAAACCAATATTATGAAATTGAATACAGAGAACAAAAAACATGCCTCGCCAACAAGACACGTTTTCGATTTCTTTTTATAGGCCTACCTTGCCAACAACTTGAGTCTCGAATGTCTGGGAAAGCCATTCCACTTCAGAGGAGTGTAATACGAAAAGAAGCCTGGTCCAATTAAATTATTGTAGTTCTCTAATAATGAATGATATAATAGTAGGACCTACCTGTAGTAACTTAATTGTTTTATCACTGGACAACGTAAGACTTCATGCTGGAATATACTTTTGAAGAGGGTTTGAGAGATAAGTTGACCCGATATAATCTAAACAATTTTCAATTTCACATGTTTAAATAGGAGATTTTTATCCTAAAAATTAAATGAATAAGGACCCATCCATTAACCCCCTCACCCCCCCCCCCCCAATAAATAAATAGATACGTTATGTAAATACACATTTAAAAAAATAAATCCAAAAGCCCAAAAGTGCAATGCAATGTGTATACTACTGTATACAGTTCACAGAATCCTGCTCTCTTCCCAGCTGAATGATATTCTAAAAGAAAACAATCCAAAATTCTATGTATTCATTTCTCAAACAATGCTCTTTCTTGTTCAGAAACGATTCATAATCACTATTTTCCGAGACAATTATTTTAACCAGCGCAAGTCTTGGTATTCATTATTCATCTTACATGTTACATAATATATAGATGCTACAATAGAAGCGTCATAATTCTATGAAAACAGACATCTCATATTGTTATTCTTTACTGAAATTAATTAAATAATAGATATAATCAACATTCACAATGTCGTGTTATTTCGAAAGGGCGCCTAGTCAAGAGTAAAATTGGTTAGCCAGTTTTTCCTTCCCAGAACACTCATAATTGTAGGCCAGTGCACGTGGGCGATTTGGCAATTTTGTTGGTCGGTGGGGATCCCCCGGATAGTGACAGGTAGGCTATCACTATTATATTATTCAATGCCTGGCTTGGAAATAATGTCGATTGGTGGTAAGAAAAAAAAATAAGTCTCTTAAACTTCAGGTGGCAAAACGGGCGCTGACTATAAAACGAAGTTTACAAGCACTGTTGTAGAGCCTGTATCGTGATTGCAGTTTGAATTATTAAATTATTATGGACTATTATATGTATAGATTATATATTATATAATACATGTAATTCTTTTTTGATAAGTGTTTTACGGCGTTCGCAACTGAATAAAGTCATTTGCGCGGGCGGGACACACCAAACAGTTTCAATTGGTGGCTGCCGAAACTTACTCTTATCGATTTTGGGCCGCCAAGGGATCTTTAACGTGCGCAACTTGCACTCGGGGCCCCAGAGATATTTAATCCTTGTCCGAGGTTAGGTGTAAATCTTTCCTACCCAGAAGACCAGGAGTGTGGCTGAACGACAGCAATAAGAAGGAGCCAAGGAGTATCAGTAGGAAGGCTGCAGAAAGAGTCAGTAGCCCAGTGGCGGGGGCAAAGGAGGTATGGAGGGGGTGGGGGCAGAAAGTGGAAATGAAAGCAGACGACAGGATGTTGCAAGAGAGAAGGAAAGAAGGTAAAAGAAGACAATTTTAGAGAAGAATTTTTTCTCAGTCGCTACCCGGGACCTTTGAATGAGATCAATTCTTACGCGAAATTGTCTGAGGAATCCATTTCCGATGTTTGTTTTGCATGATTGAAAGTATAGCCTACATAAAATCTGAAAATTGCTCAGAGGTACTGACTGTTTTTTGCTCTTGTTTGTTTTTGTTTGTTTTTTAAATAGTATTTTCTCTACTTTTGTAATCCCTCAGAGAATACTGAAAATTGAGCCTCCGCTATTCATTGATTTGCAAGCCATTCATTCTGAGAGTATTGTTGGAAACTTAAGATCAAAAGGAGCCCATTCATAAATAGAGAAAATTGAATTTGTGCTTTGAATTTTCTTTTTTTAAAGGTTTTTCTCATAAGCCGTTGTACTATACTGACCGGTAGTAATTGAGTTTCGTCGTAGCCCGTTTCATGAAGAATACGTGTAAGTCTTGTATCTTGAAAGTTTTGAAACATTCGTAGGCTATGACATTTAAAAGAACCCAGAGTATACTTGCTATTGGCCTATAAAGTAGGCATAATGGGTTTGGAAAATTGAAATTTCTGTCTTCATTCAAAAACTATAATGAATTGTAAAAATTGATCTGTCTTCTCGTGACATCTGTATAGAGGCTTGTCAAGTTTTAGGCCTATGCAAAATAATTCAATTTTTGTCAGGATATAACATTTTATTCTCGAGATCCTTCTATTCATTATCATAAAATCGGCATTTTGGACCTTTGAATAGCATAGAGCCCAAAATTATTTATTAAAAAGTGTCATTGGTGAGCTGTGACGAGGCCATCGTAGGGGAGTACAGCTGCTGTGAACAATCCCATTTTCTGCATAATGGAGATTTATTGTATTTTTTTTTTATCAGTGTCTATGAAGAAAATGATAAAATCTTGCCCCAATTGTATTGGGGGAAAAGGATTAAGTTAAGACCCCAAAAATACAATCTGCTGTGCAAAGAATGGGTGACATTGATTCACCCGTTGAAGTTGAAGAGATATTTGAAGATAAGTTGCGTCACGATTTTTTTACCGCACTTATACTAAACTAAAACGGCCACCAGAGCTGATCGTGAAACCAGATAAGTTTTTTTTTTGACTCTCTAATATTATCACAGTTTCAAATGGGAACATCAAAATTGATTTAAAAAAAAACAACAACTATGCATTTATACAATGGAAACTGAAAATTAATTAGATGAAACTATTTTACGAAATTTGCAATTGAAAGAATTATAATAATTTTCCTCTTATCCGAAAAGATAAAACAACGAAACTATTCTGTTTCTTCCCAGTTTCCAGTCTAGCAGTCAGTGCATGTTTTAGTTTGTTTGTGTCACCTTTCAACTTTCGAGGCAGACCCTGCTCACCTGTTCAACCCCGGCCTGGCTCCAAGGACCAAGTTATTTATTTATTTTTCAGTTTTTGTTTCCGATAGCTTGGGCATTATAAGTAGTCAGTCCTTGCAGAATGTTTTCCTACTCTAGAATTTGTTCTCTCCGACCCTCCAGTGTAAAGAAATTATTGAACTTGAGACTGCTACAGACTAGTGCGTCCTTGCAATCTAACGTAGCTGTGGTAAGCTTGATAATTTTTAAAAATTAAATTCTCTCAGATCTAAGATCTAGATATCTAGATCTAGATCTAGATCTATATCTAGAAAACACATGAAGCTGCAGCGAGCACCAAGCACACCTCTGTTGTTGGCCCAAATATAGATGACGTATTTCCACCATCTATTTTTGTTTGGGGGGGGGGGGGGAGTTCCCTCATGACTTTTGGGTTTCCCTCACCAGTAACTGTTGACTTTATAGATCTTGTCATGTTTGGGTTTTTTTGGGGTATTAATGTGTTATAATCTTTTATAGACAGTCTCAGCAATTCTTGTTGCATAAGTTTACCTTCTCCTGAAAGTTGTACACACACACACACACACACACACACACACACACACACACACACACACACACACACACACACACAAGCGCGTGCACACACATACACTCAAACACACACGTGTGCACACACGCCAGTACACACTCACACACACACAAACGTACGCACACACACACAGCCCAAGCAGTTGGCTATGAAACCTAGTGACGTAGCCCATCGCGCGCTAAGCGGCAAAGTGAATCTAGTCAACAGCTGGCGAGGGAAGCCCCGGAGGACAACAAAAATTAAATAGATGGCAAAAGTATGTCATCTGTATTTGGGCCAATCACTGAGGTAAGCTAGGTGCTCGCTGTAGCTTCATTTTGAGAAAACAGTGTCCACTCGCATCTCACTTATGATTTGTGTATGAGCTGTGGGCGGAGCTAATTATAATGGGTTATGAGGGATTATAACACGCTTCCCTTTGCACTTTGAAGACATGCATAGTGGTGAGATTTCGCACCCACACCACCCTGATAATCTGCTTTGCTCAGGGCTAAATATCATGATGGGATAGCCGAACTGTAACCACAACCCGTAAACCGCACCCCAGTCCCTGCCCCCGATTCATGACCTGGACTGAATAAAGTGAATATGAAATGCTGTTTTTAAAAAAAATATGTAAGTGGTTGCTCCATTTGATACAAAGGATAGTGCACTGCTCTGTTTGTCCCTGTAAATATGTCGTACAAGAAGCTATTATTTATTATAATTCAGAAAATACCACGGGAGAAAATTAGAAATGGCAGTAATTATAAGACTTGAATTATCTTATACAGGTGGCTGTCATTCGTCGGGACTCTCAGATGAGTAGCAGTTTTAGGTTCCAATGTAGAAGTAATGAAAGGGAGATATTCAATAATTAACCGTCTAATCTCTTCATTCTGCATGAGCTATCAAATGATAATTTATCTTTATCTTTCTCTTGTCATTGCAGGTACTCGCTGGCTCTGGAGTGTATGATGGAAGTGAGGTCCATGAAGTGTCAGCGTACGTGTCAGTTTTGACAAAGAACAGGAATGTTTAAAATGGCTGTTTAGGTTTGCTGACAAGGCATTAGATGGCAAATGAGTTTCCTCTTGCTGGCAAATATAGACATACACAGTGTCATACACAGTGGAGTGTGCTAACTGTTAAATCACTGAGACTGTCAGATTTTCCTTTGTTTAGCCTTTTTTTTTCGGTTTAACGAGGTTTCTGAAAAAGAAGACAAAAAATCCAGGATTTTATTTCTAATACGGCTAACTGTTGTTTTTGATTAAAGAGTGATCAGTTTAAGCGGATTCCACTGTGTACATCAAAATTGATTTGCAGTATAGCTTGCTGTTCAGTGGGAATTTGGGATTACGTATGATGATGCTATTTCTATTATTAAGTAGGCCTATTATTATTATTGTTATTATTATAATTGCCATTTGAACAAGGACTGCCTTTGACAACTTTCTTTAAATTCCTCATCTTTGGCAACTGATTATAGGTGTATTTATCTTTTTGTGTATGTAAAGACAAACTTCATAGATAATTATAAATTTTACTTTCATCTTTCAGTCAGTTGCTGGTTTATTATAAAAGAAGATTTGATTGTCGTCCCTCAGGTTTCCTCTAATATTTTGAATATAAATATTTTCTGGGACTTTCTGATTGTCTATCTTAGAGTCTGGGTCCATCTGAGCAGAGCTGGAGCTGAGGTTTCCATGTTTGCACCAGACATCCCCCAGATGCACACTGTTGACCACACTAAGGGAGAGCCTTCAGAGGATGGCAGGTCAGTTGGTGGTCTGTGTAATTGTGGAGCTTGGGCTGAACAGAAGTGATAGTTTTGAATTGCTATTTTTTAAAAGAAGTTTAAATAGTTGCTCTATTGAATACAAGGATAAAGTACTGCTCTCTTTGTCCATATCACAAATATGTCTTGCAAGCTTATTCAAAGGCACGCAAATCATGTCACTTTTATGCAAGAAAAACAGTCTCTACCGCAGCTGCCAAGCAGTACATTAAAATTTTAAAAATATGTATTTGATAAGTTATAGAGGGGCTGAGTATGGAAGTAAGTTTCCATGTCGGTTCATAGAGTAAACACTTCTCCTATTATTGTTGCAGATGTTCTTTGAATAGTTATTACTTAAAGCAAATGTGTGAAGGGTTTGTAGAGGGGAAGGGGGGTTACCTGGCCTATGCCCATCAGTTTGACCTACCACTTTGGTTGAGTCTGTATTGTTGTTTAATATAAATTGATATCTGTATGCTCTACTAATCACATACCATTGCTGGTGGCCATAATATAGTGCCGTCTATTTGAGCTGCCTTTGTGGTGTCTTGTTGAAAGTAGTGAGAGACACTCTCCATTGCCAATAGCCTTATCACTTGGCATTGCTCAAAATACTCACCAGACCAAAGTCTCTCACCTTTAAGACTATGGAGACTCAGTGCTTGTAGCGCATTTGAGCTTTGGTATCTTGCCAAATGTAGTCTTTTACCTGGTTCTTCCATGCTCTTCTCCACTGTCATGAGCTGTGGTTTACCCTAATGTGGTGCTCACACACACATGTGTTTGAATTAGATGTCTGCCTACAATGTAAGTAGGGAGGGGTAGGCCTACATAATTCTAAATTAAAAATGAGGGTTTTTCTGTGTTTGATAAGAAAAGACTAAAATTTTAATGTAATTATGTTACACTATTTATTTAGATCTAATTTAATTGTGAAAGTGTTTTTTTTTCTTTCCCAGAAATGTATTGAAAGAGTCGGCCAGAATTGCTCGAGGTAATGTAAAGCCGATTTCCGACTTGCAAGTAACCAACTTTGATGCAGTGGTGTTTCCTGGTGGATTTGGTGCTGCCAAAAATTTGTGAGTTGACAAGTGGTGTTTGCAATTTTTTAAAATTTATGTGACATTTCGGTTACATATTATTAGATTGAGAGAAACATCTGAGGTCACAGAAATGACTGTAGTTTGAGTATAGAACAATCTTTCTGATTACCTCAGAACTATTAGGGAGGCCTACTCTAAAGTCCTTACCTGGAAATAAAATTGTGAAGTGCTAGCTTAAGGCAAGTTCAAGTGGTTTGTTTTGTAATTTGTTATCTGTAGTAGACCTGTAAAGTATTTAAATAAAATCCGTCCTAAATCAACTGGGGTTCTTGAGACCCCCTGATTTTTTTCCCTAAAAAACTATTTTTGGAGGAATTCTGAGGATTATTCATATTTTTGGTCATGGAGTGGTTGGCAGGTTTGATGTAGTGGTTGAACAATTTGTTTTGCTTTTACGGCACTGGAAAGCCTTGTGCCTGATACTTTTTAAAAGAAAATTGTACTAGCATCACACGATTCACCCCACTGAGTGACAGCTGAGGTAATTGGTTTTTTTAAGAGTTGAGATTTCATGAAAACACTGATGAATTGCTTACAAGAGGATCGTAGGCTCAGTTTGTATTGCTAGTGCTCGCTGAGCATAATGAGATTGTACAGTGGAATCCTGTTATAACGAGAGGGAGGAGACCGGTATGAAATGTCCGTTATAGCAGGATTCTCGTCGTAAGGGATCCAGTAATATATTCAAAGGAAATAATGAAGTAGGCCTAATCTATGAGTTTGGTGTTCTGTTTATTTCTTTTTGTTATATCTCCTCTGATGATGGCTTTTTTCAACATGACCTCTAGGTCTTATTTTATCAAAAATTGAATCAGGTTTCTTTGTCTAGTGTTAGCGATGTTGACAGCTCGGCGTTGGCTATCGGAAAGAAAGTTCTCTAGGGTAACTCGCCCGCTGTGTTGTCCTCCACCCCACCACACCCTGTGGTGCATTCTCACGTCTGCTTGCGCACGTCACACATTTGCTCCATCCATCACAGCACTATGAGTATGACCTCTCCATCCCTGCATCGGAGAAGTGAGAGGCATGATAGGCTGAGATAATCTAGACTAGGCTGGCTTATCACTATCAGGCAATGCGTTCTGCTTCACAACGGCTTGGCTGCGCGTGCCACACCCTCCCCACTCATTCGCTCCGGCCTTCATCGGTGGCACACATGGGCTCTCCCATTCTTTGTTTCATTTGATCACCAACAAGTTTCTCAACTAGCGAGGTTTTCATGTATAAATGGCCTTTGCGGTGTGCACAGCAGCAGCAATATTCCGCTATAACCGACTCGCGCATTTATCTGGTTGCGCTATAGCAGTATTTTATTTACAAAGATAAAGAAGGAAAAAAACGGGGTTTTAGAATCATGTCTTTATAATAGACTTCTCGTTACTTCAGGACTCGTTATAAGTGGACTCCACTGTAATAGAATCCGTTTTTGTTATTACAGAAAAATTATCAAAATTAGAGTCAGAAGGAAAGCATTTCTTTGCTCAATCTCAGCTTCTCCAATACTCTCTGTACCTTAAATCTTGGTGTATGAAAGTTGTTTTAGACTGAAATTATATATCTACACCGAATTTTTAATATTTGTGAGGCATCGTGGTGGAATCAGGCTCTCGTCAGTTTTTGGGCACATTGAGTTGGTATCATCTTAAAGCATGTTCTCTGGTCTTTATTTGCATTAAAAAATATATCCGTTTATCTTAAATACAAGTCGAGATATTTGAGAATGAAGGAGGTGGGGGCCACCTGTTTTCAGAGGTAAAATTAGTGAGAAAATGGCCGCCAAAGATTACTTATATCCTTAGCTTAAGAGTCCGTGGTAACTGAAAATTTACATCTTTTGTGCCTTTAATCAACGTTTTTCAGAAAAATCCACACAGAAATGAGTTCTTTAATGAGCATGAAAGGTGTTGAACCCAAAAACAACAATTTGATTAAAATTCACAAATTCGCAGAAAGATGCAAGTTTCTTCACTTTGATTATTTTGACGAGAGCCTGATTCCACCACGATGCCTCACATTTTAACGTTTAAAGATCAAATAACCCGTACCCAGCTGTGCAGTGAACTACATACAAAAAACTAACTTGTGTTTTGCGCGCTCATGTGACCTTATGCAGTTGCAAGCGCCGTAAAACCCCATACTAAACTAAAATCTTGTTGTGGGAATTAGTAAAAATAACTGTTATGGACACAAAGAAGAAATCAGCTAATTCCTGTTTATTGGTCGAACAAACTCATAATACGCTTATAACACAATATGCCTTTAAGAAATTTGCTGAGCCACTAAGCTTACAAATATTGACTCAGTAGGTCCTTAAAGTGAATGCTCTTCAGATTGTTTCCTTTATATTATAGCAAACTTTTGTTGCCTATTGTGCTTTGACTAATTGTGTCCTCTGTTTAATGTATTCCTTTGCAGGTCGTCTTTTGCTGTTGATGGGACAGACATGAAGGTGGAGCCTGATGTCGAAAGAGTTTTGAAGGAATTTCATTCAGCACAAAAGCCAATTGGGTAATGATAATAAATTTGATCCCACTGGACTGGTATGTACCTAGTACAATATCAGTCAGTTTTGTTTGCGAATTTTGCTTCATAAGTCTGAGATGGAAAAAGAGTGTCACAATTTCACTTGTCTTTGGATCAAATATAAATGATTTTGGTGTTCTACCTTTCTCAATGTACTCACTTACCTGTGGAAAGCTATGATTTTGTTCTTTTCAGCGGTATGTCAGAAACTGGAATGGGAAGTTGGGGGCGGGGGCAGAACTTGAGTTGCAGGATACAAGACTCGTCTGATGTGTTGTAGGTGTGCAGGTGACTGTGACATGCTGTTTTATCTTAATTCATGTGTGGTAGGTTCAGGTTTGATGTCTGCTTACTTTGATTCGCTTTGAGAACAAAGAATTTTTTACACCTCCTTCTAAAGATATTTTTCTAAACTTGATACTTTGATAATGGGAAAGGATGGGTTGAGGGTGTGTGTGTTTAGGCCTATATATATTACTAGCTGGGCCCCCTTTTGATGAAAGGAATGATCGGCGGTGCCTATACGTTCTTATACTAACCGTTCTCTGACCGTCTACGCTGGTGCTTTAACATCAACTAAAAGTCATTGGCCTACTATATTTACACTCTAATGGAATGGGGCAATACATCTTGAAAGATGCAAAAAATTATAAGGTCTAGATTTATACTCTCAAAACAAAATGCGCCTCGCGAAATATCACTTCCGGATTTTCTAAAATTACTGAGACAGAAGCGTCGGCCTACAAAAGCGATCCGCGAAATAAAGAAATTTAGCTTTTTGGAGCAAAACAGTCTCAAAACTGAAACAAACCAAGAGTGTCATGGTCTGGACAATATTTTAAAGAATCTTTTGGCGAAAACCGCAAGTCGATCGATGCAGCCATTAAAAAGGGTTTTGAATAGCAAAATTCGGCCACCGCAAATAGATAATAGATATGTGTGTGTGTGTGGTAGGGGGTTCTTTTCCAAAATTATCTTTTGTGAATTGCGATGTTTCTGGTGTGTTGGAAAAAGCTCTACAGTGATTCAAACTTGACCCTCCCTTTGTTATCATGGTAAGACATCATGTTCAGTGTTAAGTTTAGAGTTGCCAAATACCATGCCATGTTGTATGAAGTTCTGTCAGTGAGCTCTTTGTACCAGTTCCAGAATGTTTCATTTTTCAAGTGACCTTTTCTGTCTGGCCTTGGTCTTCAGGGACACACTTGCATTTATGTGTGGAATTGTATCCAATAGTAATTTATGGGGCTTTTAAAATATTTTTGGTCTGTGATGAAAGTAAAATGTATTTCTCTATCTACTGCCAACTTTGTTACTAGCCTAGTGCGCATATATGAAAATTGGAGAAATGTGGAATTCTTTTCGTTTTTAACAAATTCTGGGCTATATCAAGGGAGA